TTATGACGCAACGGATACTGCACCTAGGCCGCTTCTTTATGTTGAGGGCGCTGTTGCACGTTCGCGCACCAAGCAGCACACGCGGACACCGACACAAACTAGTGGTACCGGATTTAAAGCACATGACTCACTCTATGCTTCGTGCGTCGCGTGGTGAAATATTGAAATAAATTGCCGGAGACGCTAGTCGAGGCGAAATCGGTGTCAGAATTTAAGAGATTCTTTGACCCCCAGTTTGCGGACTACAGGTACAGGGAGCGTATCGCACCCGAATAAGATGTAGTGCAGCTGAAATATGCTGCCACCGCGCAGGAATCAGCGACTTGATTCCTCGCTTGCGCCCGATCCACCTAATGTGGAGCAACGCAGATTTTTGTATTCTCGCTCTCTATTCTCAGTATTCCGTATTCAGTAGGAAACCTTTGATAGACGTGTCCGATGGAGACAGGCAGAGTGAGGAAGCGTGGGAAATAACAAGTGGGGTTAAACATGGCAGTCCAGAATGGAGTACTTCACGGAGTTTGCCGGATCGAGATCAGTTGGTTATCCATTAACCGTGATTATTTGGGTGGCGTCTGGAGTGCATCATCGGTGAGCAGTCGGCGCTCACTCGTTAGACAGTCGAGAAACTAACGGGTTCAAAGAAAGCGCCGACAGGACATACCCTTGCTGTCTGCATGAAGATGCGCATGGAAGGTGTCATCCAATCTACGCACCCAGTAAGCGGGCAGTGCGACTATTGTCCTACGAAGAAGTCCAAGTGTCCTATTCTGTATCATGCAGCAAAGCGTTTGGGGACTAGTTAGTCTGCTGCGATCAACGAGTAAATGGCGACTGGTTGTCACCGAGAATTAAGTGAGGGGACTTGAGTTTGTTGGTCACATTACGCTCCATGTATGTCACCTCGATTGGTGACGAAACGTTTGCAACAAAAGTGCCAAGCTCAGCGAACAGTTCAACTGGAATCTGAACAACCTGAGTTACCAGTCTTCAATTCTATAGCCAACTATTTAACTTGGATCTTACTGTGAAGAATTTTCAGTTGATTAGTTTTATGTGCACAATTGGTGACTATATATACGTGAAGTGAGTAAATTAGCCGTTCCCGCGTGTAAATGGGTGCCTGACAAGTCTGTGATTTGTCCACATAAGAACACATTATCGGTAGTTCCAGGATGCTGTAGGGAATCTGCGTGCCGTTGTAAAGGTATGTGAAAATTCGGTCCGTATGAATTATAGGAAATAAATAGAGCATTCAGCCTACAGCATTCTATGTCCATCAACCAACCCTCGAATTTTCAAAATCATCAACACGAAAATATTCCGGTAATTTACAAGAATAAGTAGCACAGATGACTGCAGTTGTATTGAAGATTGGCTTTGCTAGGACGATTCAGCCAAGGAAGCACAACATCATTTGTTCATTGACAATGCCACTTGTCATCCCAAAATCTAGCTAAATACTGTTGAACTGCAGTTCCTAGCACCTAACACACTGCGTTAGTTCCATTTCTCACCAGGGTGCCATTCAGGCCATTAAATTAAAGTTTGGGAAAGACAGCTCCTATATCGTTTTACGATCATTGAATCACACCAAGATATGTCCGGGACCTAACTCATGCAACGAGTCACTATATTGGACGTCGTGCTCTGGAGCGCTACCGCATGGTAAGAGGTGGACAACCCGACAATCGCTAAGTTAGCTTGCAAATTATGTAGCCCAGCTAACATCCCCATGGCTCAGTGGCTTAAGCTGCTGGCTAGTTGGCATCTTCCGCTAGTGGTCACGGGTTCGATCCCCAGTAGGGGACCGAGGGGATGCGCACCACTGACGAGCCCCAATAGGGCGAAATGCGTCTGGTGCTTTTCCGGACTATGAACTACTGTGTGTGAACTACTGGGATGAAAGCCTTCTCAAAATCTCTAAGTCTTTTGTGAAGCAGCGTTTCCTTGTCCTGCAGACATAGCTTCTGCAACAGCCATTTAAGCTGGGCCTGAGGCAGACGAGCACATTGTACCTCCTGCAATCTCTATTGCGTTGGATGATCTTTCAAAGGAATTGTTCAGACTGGGTGCTCCATGGTTGATTCTGATTTCTAAAGTTGTAACACGACAAAATAAACTGGTATATTCCCGCCACTTCACCTTTAACAGGAACAAGATTATACAGACGTTCTGACGTTTAAATTCACAGACGCACAGGATCTTGTTGATCTTTTGCGCCCCTAGGCAATAAATAACGGACTCACTGACATGCTTAAGCTTATCATGAACGTGAGCCGAAACTTACTTCTTTTATTTCAACTGCTAGCTAACAGACCATTACACTTGATTTTTTCATCCGGTAGAAAATGATTTGGACATTAGAAAAGTGTGTGGGCATGATTTTTTCTAAAACTTGTGGCTCATGCTGATCTGTAGTTTAGTTTTTAAGATGTTTACCTATGCACTGCAAGTTTACTAAATTTTCGTTACTTACATATCGCATGGTATATAGAATACTACTGCTGTCAGTTAGAGAACTACAACTGACAGTAGTTGTCTGTGTACAGATCTAGTTCGCACTTGGAAGTGTAGTACACAATGCAAACGATCATGAGTAATGTCCCCTATGTATGAATCTGTCCAAGGGGACCACTTTTTGTCGATCCCTTGAGTGGTCGCCTTACACAGGTTTGACTGTACCTCTCAAATAAGTTTTCATTGGTAAGGGCGCATTCCATCTTGTGCAAAACATGGACACATACTTTTCATAACGTGTGGTGATACATTCATTCGCAGAGTACCAGGTGTGCTGTTCATTTTTTTAATGTCAAAAGCATTGTTGCGTTTCTGTCACACGCAACTAAGTTATCGTGATCAATAGGAAAGACTGTATCACCTCTCTACTTTTCAATGACCTCTGGCGATAAACGCTTTCTTGTGCTGCCTAACTGTACTTAAACTCCTTTCTTACATACGGGATGTTACTACTTCACATACACCTGGCTCTCTAACCACATGCTTTGGATCCCAATGAGGATACAATGCACCTGGTATATTTGTTGTACACTACAGATGGCATGATCGGTGCCGTATACTCTAATGCCAGAGTTATACGAAGTTAGGAACGCTTCCAATTAACTTGTTCGAACTTATGCGACTCACCAGTGTCCTATATCAATAATTTTGACCATTATTGACTGTGCAATGTGCATAGTACTTGGTCTACTGGTTGGTCATCCTAAACTATCACTCCGAGACAAAGTCGGATCTGGAAAATCGACTTCATAGAGTGCAGTTTATACTTGGTCTGTATCTGATCCATATGACTCCCGGTTTTCGTCGATTTCTCGATACTGAAGTCTGCTTTTCCTGATTTTCAAACAGCTTCGGTTATAATGGACCACTCATATACCACAGTATTTTTCGTAGCTGCTCGTGACAAAGTGATTTCGGAGTCAGCGTAAATTTGTGGGGAGGGAGTTAATACCACAAAGATCCATTGATATTGGTTGGTTAGTTTGATACAACCGGGAAAAATTTGATGCCGGCGTTTCTTTGTCGAAGGCCTAGGTCACTTCGAGGTCACCTTCAATCGATACACATCCAAGACATTGTTAATATTTTTACCCTCCACCGGTTACTACTAGAGTAGACACGTCGTTCAAGATGGAAACATCACGAGGCAACTCAAATATATTAACTTTGTTGCACGAATTGTACACCGTTTCGCTTACTAAATGCGGTCCGCCATGAGACACTGCGGCTACTGTATGAGCATTTAATTGTTGGCACATAGGGAGAGATAATAAATTTAGGATACAACTACAGTGGCTGCATTGCATCATCGGCCGCAGCTGATAGATAATCTCTCAGCTTCGCATCGTAGCCAAGTTTCCGCAGGTGGTCCTACAAATACTACGAGCCGTCAGGGCTTAGCATGCTTGGCCAGGTCGTTTGGCTATTACCCAGTGTTTCTTTAGTTTTTCTCATAAGTAATGCAGGCAAGCGAAGGTAGTGCCGCATTACGATTGCTAGTGATACGAAACGATGTGGCTACTGCGCACTATTCTTCTAGAGGCAGTCGCAACCACCCACAGATTATCATCATGTTGAGTGAATCACCAGGAGAACTAGTAACATTTGTTGGTGGATTAATCGTCGGTTTGTGGCCCAATGAATAAGACACCTGCCATGTAACGCAAGGGTCACCGGTTTAAGTCGACATAGGTGCGGGCACCCTTGCAGCATACCCAAACCAGACGCACAAGCGGTGGTGTTTTTTGCGGCAGCAAAGTGTCGGTACGATGTACCTGTGTACTGGTGATACTTTTTGTGCCGGAAAATCCAACCAGGTAGCGCAGTTCGCTAACCTTGTGTCCTGCTACAAAGCCTTCCAAGAGGGCTTAGCTCCGTCTCCATCCATGCTGGTGCAGCTGAACCTCGGTGCGACCATTCCACGTTCGTAACGAAATAATATCTACGTACAGAGTATTGCTGATGCCTTTGATACGTCAGCTCGACAGCAGGGGCGCTGGTGAGTAAATACAGAACGCATTCTGCACTTACCTGTTATGCAATTCGGTGGAACACTCATCTCTGAGATAAAACGAAAGCCACTATGACTTCTGAGTAACAACGCATATTGGGCTTTTTATGGGGGACAGGGACAAAACATCATTACATGTTCGGACATGGAAGGTTATAGGTGAACTTGCGGGGCAACGACGCACTGGTGCCAAAGAGGCTACGGAGCATGACGTGCGAACGCAGTTAAGTGTTTTGTGAGATGACAGGCGTAGCATTAGGTGCCCTTTCGTGCATTATAGGTACAGGAGATGGGTCAGTTTTCCCGATGGTATACAGTTAGTGGATCTTTTGAATCAGGTTCACACTTGCTGAGTGACCGGAAAAATACATCCGGATTTTTTCGAGATGCACGTGACGGCGTTCAAAACGGTTCTTTAAATTCCATCGATAGATGTAGTTCCAAAGGGTCTCCTTCAGGGCCTTGTGTCCTAGCCCGGGACAAGGACTTCGTGAAGCCAGAGGAAGTTCCTTAGCTCATCCACCTTGATGACGCCGTCACCTGGTGAGGAATCAAAATCGAATAACGCACCAACTGTTTTACAAATACATGCAAAATTAAAAATCACCACAACTACTAAGTTTCACACATTGTAAACCAGTAAGCGGATAATTTCAGTGTTGAGAACGGATGACAGAGAATGTGATGGTCCCGTTTCAGGATCTGCTTCATCGGCCTTTCTTATTCTAGCTATGTAACAGTAAATATTACTCGACTACCGGGTAGTCACCATCGCAATGAGGCTGCACCTTACCGTGGTGCGATGGTTTGCGTGCTTCAGTTATCCGTTGAGCTATGCTGGGTGGTGCTTTTTTCACCTGCAGAACCACTCATACCAGATTGTTCAATAGTTAGAAGCCAGACAAACTCAGTCTCCTGCTCCTCCCGATTGGGGGTTATAATGAGGGTGGCCCCATATTCCTTAAAACGGACTACTTGCAGTCCACTGCCAAACCCGCTACCTTGCGATCAGGTTTTTGAACCAAAGGCTTTGGTTGAGAACCCTAATCGTTCTGCAGTCTAGGCCTGAGCAATCTGACAGTATCCTTCCCATCCAATATTATGCATGCTTTCCAGAACAATTTCCTGATGCTCAGGCCGCAGCAGAGGATATTCAGTGGTGCCCTATCTGCTTCAGCGAGCACGGTGGATAGGGGTTTGGATACCAATGCTCAAGTTTTCCCACCTTCTTATTCCTTCTCTTACGCTTTTTCACCCTTATCGTCCCGTTCCAACTTCACTTTTATCCCCCTAACCGTTTTCAACCCCCAATTCCTGGCCCTCCCCCCACTTTGCTTTGATAGCGTTTTACTTTCAAGTCTCCACTCACATGTGAACACGGAGCGTCGTTCCTGCCCTGTCGACAAGCCCATATCCAAGCAAGCCGTCAAGCCCAGTTCATCGGCTTCCATTTGGAACGCTCGATCATCTTTCAGATGGATATGCTTCAATGCACGCACATTGCTACAGATCGGTCAACAGGCAGCACTTGCCCGAACATTAGAGACCCTCTCGATCAATATCTTCTGCTTATCGGTGACCCACCTACAAGACTCGAGCTCAGTGCCCACTCTGCGATCCCCTTCAGTTGACACCAGCAGCGCTTTCTCATGGAGCCTATCCGGTGGCGATGCAGCTTTGAGCACCGGCCAAGGTGGCATTGGTATTGCCCGGAGTCCCCGACATGAAGCTGCTCTGGTTGATTGGATCCAAATCAGTATCTGGATGTTTGCGGTCTGATTGGCTGGCTCGTTCGAAGCTTCGAAATCGCACGGGTCTAACAGGTGTCTATCCATCATCATTGCTTATGCACCCACAAACTCTCCGATGATTTGTTGAAAGACGACTTCTATCGCCAACTGAACGTGCTCCTTCGCCACAGACGAAGCTCGGACACTGTAATGCTGGTTGGGAATCTGAACGCCAAAGTTGGAAAATTATCCACTGATGAACTGCATCTGGGTGGTCAACATGGTGTAGGCTCCCGTAATGATAACGGTGAGCGGTTACTTCATTTGTGTAAAGATGCTCGCTTATTTCCTGCGAGCACTAATTTCCGACACAGCACCCGCTGGAGGGTGACTTGGCGCCCACCAGCCTCTAATTAGCTTTAGGCGCAAATAAATCAGTTACCGATGGAGCGGCTGCATCCAGAACTGTCGCTCGATTTGGAGCACATGTGTGGACACCGACCATGCACTTGTATGTGCTGACCTGCGAATGCGTTTTGGCGGATGCCCACGACGAGGTTGTGAGCGCTTTGACACTAGCCAACTGGCAAAGCCAGTTGTTCTGAATGCCTATCAAAGTACGCTGACATGCGATTTGGGTAAACGCTCACTGGATACAATTGAAGCTCATTGGTCTCATATTCACCAGACGTTACTAGCAGCAGGCAAATCCTCATGTGGTATGTCTAATCGCCAATATGGACACTGGGTCTCTTCGCAGTCTCTGGAACTTATCAATGGTTGCCGGCATATTCCGGCTGGAAGCGAACACAATGAAACTCGCAAAGAGCTCCGGGCAAAACTCCGTGCTAGCCTGAAGGGAGACCGCGAATCCTGATGGCCTCATCGTGCGTCAGAGATGGGAATCGCCGTTACCCTTGGTAACCATCGTAAGTTATTCCGCTGATACGGGAAACGGGAAGCAGGAGATCTGGTGTTAGTGAAATTATACTTGACGAGAATAGACTTCCTATCCAGAACTTATCAAAACGCTTAGAGCGTTGGGCTGACCACTATGAAAGGCAATTTAATCGGTCAGAATTGTCAGATTTTTTGGCGACTACTTGTCGCCGTGCTCCGTGGGCTGTCCGTTTGGATCCGCCCACTCGCTCAGAAGTCGAACGTGGGATCGGACTGTTGAAGTTAAACAAGGCCGCGGGACCAGATGATCCTCCTTCAGACCTCTTCAAATTTGGGGGACTTGCTTTTGTGGATGATGTACGCGAATTACTAGCGAAACTGTGGGAGCAGGAAACTTTCCCAGCCAGCTGGAGCCGCTCCGTCGTAGTCCCCATTTTCAAGGGAGGCTCACGATCGGAATGCGGCAACCATAGAGGAATCAGTCTGCTCTTCATAGCTTTCAAATTGCTTGCCTCTGTCATCCCTCACAGACTGACTGGCGCTCGTAAAAACCATATTCGTGAGGAGCAAGCCGGGTTTCTTCGGGGTCATGGCTGCATTGACCACATCTTTACTTTTCATCAGTTGTTGGAGCACCGTCACATATATTGGCGGCCCACCTTTGTCGTGTTTCTCAATATCAAAGGTGCATTCGATTCGGTGGATAGACGTGCACTTTGGGACTGTCTACTAGGGAAAGTTGTACTTGAGAAATATGTAAATGTTATTCGAGCATTATATGCGTGTGACTCGGACAGAGTGAAGGATTACGGCAAGCTGTCGTCGCCCTTTAATATTTCCAGGGGTGTGAGACGAGGTTGCCCGCTATCACCTTTCCTCTTCAACTTCGATATTGATGAAGTCATGGAAATCCCGTTTACAGGACATGACTTATAATGTGTGGATCTGCTCCCAGGATAACGACTTCTTAACTTGGAGTATGCTGACGATATTTCCCTAATCTGTGACAGCTCACAAACGCGGCCAGCGGTACTGGACAGTTAGCACTGGCTGTCAGCCGCTTCGGGCTTTGCTTTGTACCCTCGAAGTGCAAAGCTTTCCTCCACGATTGGTCCGGACCGCCTTCTACGCTGACCCTTGGTTGGGATCAGCTAGAAGTCGTTCAAAAACTCAACTACCTGGGAAGTTGTATCAGCGCCCGTGGGATAGAAGATAAGATCACGAACCGTATAGAAAAAGCTCGAGGTGTTTTGCTAGGCTTCGCCACTTATGGCGCCGGCGCGACATCACTCTCTCCTTGAAGGGTAGAGTATATAATGCAGCAGTATGTTCGACCCTACTGTGTAGTTGTGAAACCTGGCCCCCTTAGATCAGCGGACTTAAAGAGGCTAGTTACGTTTGACCATCGATGCCTTCGCAATTTAGCTCACATCTGGTGGGAACACCGCGTGAGCAACGAGCGTGTTCGACGCCTTGTTCACGGCACAGGATAAGGCAATAAACCGCACTGCATCGTTATTTCAAGCAGCAGACTCCGATTGCTCGACCACATGTTACGCATGTCAACCCACCGACATCCGCGACGTGCGTTGTTTGTACGCAGGTGGTGTGGATGGAAGAAGAGGAGAGGTGGCCAAGCGATTACTTGGTCGAGAGGAATGAAGGCCCCCACTTCGGAGCTGGCATCGTTTGGGGCGTCACGGCTCCCTGGTTGAGGTCCAAAGGACGATGAACACGTTTTATTAGATGCACTTGCTGACATGGCTAGGAGCCGACCTCAATGGCGTTCGTGTTGTGAGTTTCTTTGTCCCTCCCCATACCTTTTCTCCTTCCCTTCCATCCACGATCTCAGTTCGTAGCATAATATAATTACTGATTACTGATTTGTGGTTGGAAGCAGCAACCAGAGTTTTTGCTCTGTGAAGCTGCATCTAATGTCACTCCGGGACAAAGACCCGTTATGTTGTGTTGCGCCCAATATATTTTGCGTCGACCAAGTGTTTGTCCAGAAACTTCTTAAATTCCGAAACGGACTTTGCCTCAGCCACGTGCTGCAGCAGGTCGTTCCATACATTCACCACTCTGCGTTCGAAACAGAGTTGTTTAGCGACGCTCTTCAAATCCGGTACGACAAGCTTGTACCGGTGTCCTCGTGTGCTGCTTGGTGTACGCAGATGAAGCACTGGTCTCAACTTGGGGTAATCTCCCAGATATAATATCTGGTGCGCCATGATGGAATCAACCCGCATTTGACGATAAGCTAGGGTGTACAGCCCTGGTTTCTTAAACCGGTCTTCGTATGGCAGACCTCGTATGTTGGGAATCAGCCTGGTGGCTGCATGCTGTACTCGCTCAATCTTTTCTACCTCGCCCCGGATGTTAGGACAATACACGAGAAAGCCATACTCTAGCATTGGTCTTTTTATTGAGACGAAGAGGTGAGTGACAATAGACGTAGAGGCGAGTGGCAATAGACGGATATGTGAGTGGCAATAATAATAATAATAATAATTTTTTTGTTGCCTAATAGCCGGCTGATAGCTTTCCGGAACTTTGCTGGTAGCTCAGCTGGCTTCCATCTTTTGCATATTTTCCCTTTTTTATTTTATGTGTTGCGGCACGGTAGCTGAGTTCCCTTCCACCTCTAGCCAGTGTGTATAATGATGATGATGATAATGACCGGGTAGTTGCAGGTTAAAAGCCTTGTCAGCCGTTGGACCTGGTGGATCTCTTTTTGAATATAAGCCGGAGGGTTTTGTGTACTTCACTTTCATGACGTACGTTTGAGGATAGGAGTTTTGAAGAGTTGGTTATTCTGTGTATGTATGTAAGTTGGCTTGGGGTACGATATCAGTCTGAGCTATAGTTTGTTTTAAACAAACTTCAGTCACTCTAACGATTTTGCGGGCT